GGAATCAGGAAGGGTAAGGGAATGTTGGTCCTCATTTCAAAAGGGGGGTTGGAGTATAAGAGCGGTGAAGTCTTACTGCAGCTGTAAGGTGCTGGTGAGACCACATCTGGAGCAGTTTTGGTCCCTTATTTAGGGAAAGATTGGAGGCAATTCAGAGAAGGTTGGCCAGGATGTTAGAGACAACAAGGTGTAGAGCTGGAGGAACACAAGCAGCATCAGAGGAGCAGGAAGGCTGACGTTTCGGGCCTAGACCCTTCTTCAGAAAATCACCAGGACGATCCCTGGTATGGAATGGACTGTCTTATGAGTAAAGGTTAAACAGGTTGGGACCCGACTCGCTGGGGGTTTAGAAGATTGAAGGTTGGATTGCATTGAAACATATCGGATTCTTAAGGGGCTTGACAGGGTAAATGCTGAGAGGGTGTTTCGCCCCCATGGGAGAGCCTAAGACCAGGGGGCACAGTCTCAGAATAAAAGGGCACCAATTTAAAACTGAGATGAGGAAGAATTTCTTCTCTGAGGGTTGAGAGTCTTTGGAACTCGTTGCCAGAAAGAGCTGTGGAGGCAGAGCCCTTGTGTATATTTAAGGCTGAGAGAGATTTTTGATCAGTCGGGGATCAAGGGATACGGGGAAAGGACTGGAAAGCGGATGTGAGGAATGTCGGATCAGCCATGACCCTGTTGAATGGCGGAGCAGGCTCAAGGGGCTGAATGGCCTAATCCTGTTGCTGTGCCTTATGATCAGATGTGAGGGGCTGGGTAGGTGAAGGTGGGGGTCAGTGATGAGAAAAGTTGGGAGCTGCTTGCTAGAATAAAGTCGTGGGGTCGGCAAAGGTGTGAAGATCCAGATACAGTAGAGCTTTCTGAAGAGGTCATTGGGTCGAGGGGTGCTTCAGGGACAGTGAATAGTGAGGCAGGCAAATGGTTTCTGATCACGGTATTGAGGGACTTACTAATAATCCATACTGGGCAATGGTGAGACAACACCTGGGGCACCGTGTTAGTTTCTGTACCTTCGGAAGGATGTACTTACCCTGGAGGGAGAGCGACTGCAGTGAGGCTTCACTAGAATGGTTCCTTGGATGTGGGGGATTGTCCAATGGAGATTGACTGGAAACGTAGAGAATAGGAGCAGGAGTAGATTATTGGGACCTTCTGAGCGAAGTCTGCTATGCCACATGATCATGGCTGATCATCCAACTCAGTCACCTGTTCCCACTTTCTCCCCCATACCCTTTGATCCCTATCGCCCTAAGACCTATATCTAACTTCTTGAAAACATTCAATGTTTTGTCCTTAACCGCTTTCGGTGGCAGAGAATTCCACAGGCTCCCTGCTCTCTGGGCGAAGACGCATCTCCTCATCTCATCCTAAATGGCCTACCATGTATCCTTAGACTGTGACCGCATGGTTCTGAAAGAGCACAGGCCGATATATAGGGTGTTGGCATTGTGGTAATGTCCCTGGATTACCAATCCAGAGGACCCTGGAGACATGAATTCTAATCCTATTGTGGCAGGTGGTGAAATTGGAGTTCAATAAAAATCTGGATTGCAAGGCTCGCCGTGTAACTATCGTTCATTGTAAAACGCCATCTGGTTCACTCATGCCCTTCAGAGAAGCAAACCTGCTGTCCATGCCTGGTCTGACGTACACGTGACTGCAGACCCACAAGCAATTTGGTTAACTGCTCTTAACTGCCCTCTGGGAAAATTAACGACGGGGCAACAAATGAATTCCACGAATGAAGAAAACAGCTCTCTGGGGTTTGCACAGTAATTGCCTACAATTCTTGAGGGCTTTTTTGATGGGATAAATGCAGAGGGGCTCTTGTTCACTGGAAGGGGTGTGGGTCGTTAGTACCCTCAGGATTTGGAGGTGGCCATTTTGGGGCTGAGGTGAGGAGAAACATCTTCACTTTGAGGGCTGTGAATCTTGGGAATTCTGTTTCGCCCTGCACGCACATGCGCGCACACACAGCTGTGGATGCTCAGTCATAGTGTCAAGAATCATACTGCGCGGCAACAGACCCTTCGGTCCAACTCGTCAATGCCGACCAGATATCCTAAATTAATCTAGTCCCACTTGCCAGCATTTGGCCCATATCCCTCTAAACACTTCCTATTCATGTCCCCATCCAGATGTCTTTTAAATGTTGTAACTGTGTCAGCCTCCACCACTTCCTCTAGCAGCTCGTTCCATACACGCACCACCCTCTGTGTGGAAAAAGTTGCCCCTTGGGTAAGACCTTGGCTATTCACCCTATCCATGCCCCTCATGATTTTATGAACCTCTGTAAGGTCACCCCTCAGCCTCTGACCCTCCAGGGAAAAAAGTCCCAGCATATCCAGCCTCTCCATGTAGCTCAAACCCTCTGGTCCCAGTAATATCCTTCTAAATCTTTTTTGCACCGTTTCCAGTTTAATACATCCTTCCTATGGCAGGGTGACTGGAATTATGTGCAGTACTCCAAAGTTGGCCCTACCGGTGTCTTGTACAACCTCAACATGATGTCCCAACTCCTATGCTCAACGCTCTTATCAATAAAGGCATGCATGCCAAACACTACCTTCACCATTCTGTCTACCTGTGACTCCACTTTCAATGAACTATTTACCTGCACCCCTAGGTGTCTCTATTCGACAGAACTCCCCAGGGCCCTAGCATTAAGTCCTGCCCTGGTTTGTTTAGCCAAAATGCAACACCTCGCATTTATGTGGATTAAACTCCATCTGCCACTTCCCGGCCCATTGGCCCATCTGATCAAGATCCTGCTGTACTCTTGGCTAACCTCCTTCGCTGTCCACTATAGCACAAAATTTTGCAAACTTACTAATCACACCTCGTATTTGATGACGATGAGAATATTCGAGATTGAAATGGAGGGCTTGCTGGATGCTGAGGGGACTGAGGGATTTGGAGTGTGTGGGAGAGTGGACAGGAGATCGGGGGTCAGCTGTGATCGTGCTGAGGGGCTTGATGGGCAGAAGGCCCACACCAGTTGCCTCTGGGAGAAGGAGAGAATCCCCTTGGTGTGACGGGAGGAGGGTGTGTGGTTAGGAAATTGGAATTTGGATTACACAGCTAGTGAGACAGGCCTGCAGGTTCAAAGGAGTTGGTTAGAGTTTGTGGCGGTCTCTCAGTATGTTGACCGTTGCCCCCTCTTCCTGCAGTATGGTCGCTATATTCGATCAGTGGTGCGACAGGAGAAAGGCTTGTCCAGTATCGCTGAGCGCCTCACGCATGAAAACGACCGGGTGGTCAAAGCTGTGTCTGGAGCTCTCCGTAATTTGTCGCTTGATGCCCGGAACAAGGAACTGATCGGTGAGTGTGGGATTTCCTCACCTATCCCATTTCCATCACCACCACCCCCGACCACCCCCCCCCCCCCCCCCCGCCAACAAAAAGTGTTCTGCTGAACTTCACCAGATAGTGTCTACAAGAGGCTAGGGATCCAGCTGCAAATAACTCACCACCTGACTCCCCCCAAAGCCTGTCCCACCATCTACAAGGCACAAGTCAGGAGTGTGATGGAATACCCCCCCACTTGCCCTGGATGGGGGCAGCCCCAACAACACTCAAGAAGCTCGACACCATCCAGGACAAAACAGACCCCATTTGATCGGCACCACATCCTCAAACATCCCACTCCCTTCCCCACCGACGCTCAGTAGCAGCAGTGTGTACCATCTACAAGATGCTCTGCAGAAATTCACCAAAGATCCTCAGGCAGCACCTTCCAAACCCACGGCCACTTCTCTCTAGATGGACAAGGGCAGCAGATGTAGGGGAATGCCACCCCTTGTAAGTTCCCCTCCAGTCCACATATAACCTAATTTCCCTTTGAAAGTCTGTCTACAACTACGCTAACCCTTCCATCGAAGACCATCCCTCTAGACCTCTAAGTCTGCTTGTGAAAGCCCCACATGACTCTGTACAGTAGATATGGTGTCTAATTCTTTTGTTACTTCCTATCTATTTTCAGGTAAACACGCTATGCCCAATCTAATTTGCAATTTGCCATCGAGCCAGGATTCCTCTCCCAGTCGGAATGAGGACACCGTTGTGTCGATACTCCAGACCATCAACGAGGTTGCCATCGACAATGTGGAGGCTGCCAAGAAGTTGAGAGAGCTGCAGGGTGTTGAGAAGCTGGTGTTGATGAACAAGTCCAAGTAAGGCTGGGTCATTGGCAGGTCACTGTCTCACAAAAGGTTCCCCACCAAATGTCGCCAATCCTCATTCACTCCCATTGTACCCAATCCCAGTGGATCGTACCCAATCCCAGTGGATCGTACCCAATCCCAGTGGATCGTACCCTGCCCAATCCCTCCCATTGTACCCAATCCCACTGGATCGTAACCCTTCCCAATCCCTCCCATTGTACCCAATCCCACTGGATCGTAACCCTTCCCAATCCCTCCCATTGTACCCAAACCCGATGGATCACACCTGCCTCCTGCTGGAGAATGGACCCACACGTTGACTTGTGTGTTCTTGTTGATGTGTTTAGCAGCCGCTCTGAGAGAGAGATCAAGGCAGTGGGGACTGTGCTCCAAACCTTGTGGGGTTACAAGGAGCTCCGCAAACAACTGGAGAAGGACGGGTGGAAGAAAGCCGACTTTCAGGTAAATGTTTGAGAGCTGCCTTATTGTGTTGGAACACACACAGCAATGGTTCATGTGGAGAGGGTGGGGCCCTTCTTCCCGGAACAGGGAACAACAACAATGAGAGTGAAGTGAGGTGAGGGAGTGCAGTGATGGTTTCCCAGACTGCTTCCTTAGATGACAGGACTGACATATGTAGAGAGACTGGATCAGTCAGTATTATATTCACTGAGGTTTAGAAGAATTGGGGCGGGGGCGGGGCGGAGGGCGGGGAGCGATGGGGTGCTCTCTCAGAAATCTGTAAAATTCTAACAGGACTAGACAAGGTAAACACAAGAAGGATGTTCCCCATGACTAGGGGAATCCAGAACCAGGGGGTCACAGTCTGAGGATACGGGGTAGGACTGAGATGGAGAAGAAATGTCTTCGGCCAGAGAGTGGGGAGCCTGGGGCATTCACTGCCACAGAGAGTGGTTGAGGCCAAAACATTGTTTTCAGGAAGATGTTCTTGGGGCTAAAGGGATCGAAGGGAGAAAATGGGAACACGAGACTGAGTTGGATGAGCGGCCATGGCCATATTTGAATGGGGGACCAGGCTCGAAGGGCTGAATGACTTGCTCCTGCTCCTAGTTTTTCTGTTTCGATGAGCTCTTTAATGCAGTGGAGGGGTAGATTGGGAGAAATTTTTCTTGGTGTGAGGAGGGTCAGGAACTGGAGGGACATGGATTGAAGAGAATTGGGAGGAGACCCAGAGGGGTGGGAGGATAGGACACCATTTTGGACAGTTAGTCGTTGTGATCTAAAAGGGCGGTGGGTCAATCAGGACGCTCCAAAAGGCAATGTGGAGGAAAGACGGGGAACAGAGGTAGGATCTGATTAGTCAGCTCATCCACGGGGCTGAATGGCCTCCTCCTGTGGGCCTATAGCTCTCACCCGGTCTAATGTACCCTCTTTGGCTTTGTTATAGATGGTGGCGGCCACGAACCGTGGAGTTTCGGGAAATGCCTACGATGACAGCACTCTGCCCCTGATTGAGAAAAACCAGCGGGGAGGTGAGGGCTGGGGAGAGTGGTGGGTTTGGAGGGGCCAGGGCAGGAAGCTGCACCCTGATATCAGGAGGGAAGTGACAGTGAGCAAGTTACAGGAGGCTACATGGCAGCCTGGAGCCACACTGGTGTTTGGGTGAGGGCTTCGGGAAGGGGCTATTGCTGGAGTTCAGGAGAGAAAGGTCACTGGGGCTTACAGAGAGGTAACTCCAGGGGCTATATGGGGCTTCAGTGGGGTAGGTGGGGTGTGTCTTAAGCAGGAATGATTCTGGGGCTAGGATCTCCCTGGGGGTGTTGGAGCGGAGATCTCCCTCATTTTGGGGGTGGGGTGGGTGGGAGTTGGAGCCCAGATCTCCCTGAGGCGGGGTTAGAGCAGGGATCTCCCTGAGGAATTAGACTTCCTGAGGGGGTCGGTTATTTACCCCAGGATTAGCCGAGCTGAGTCTTTGATCCTATGCTGCTTTTTTTGCAGGAGACAAGAGGGAGATGATACCCATGGATGACCTTGGGCCAGGTTTGTATCAGTCTCTCCCCCCACCACCCCCCTCCCCGTTCGCGCTGACGTTCAGACTGAGGTGGGGAAGGGCCTGTCTCATCCTGCTCGCGCTGGCCCTCAGGAACTGGTTACTGTGGTTCGTTCTCATCACCTCTCTCTCTCTCTCTCTCTCTCTC